GCGTTGATCAAAGACCTGAGCCCTGGCCTGTCCTACGAGATGACAGTCGTGGGCGAGAACGAGGTCGGGAGGGGAGAGGCGGCCGACACCGTCACGTTTGTCACCGGCGAAGAGGAGCCGTCGGCGCCGCCCAACGACATCGCCGTTGAGGGCAAAGGGCCGACAACCATACGGGTCACGTGGCGGGCGCCGGCCAAAGAGCACTGGAATGGTGTGATCAAAGGCTTTTACATCGGCTACCGGAAGGCCAGGGATGGTAACCATCCGTTCACTTTAAAACTCGTCGAATCAAAGCCTATACAGAGCGGCAAAAACGCCGAAACCGAGACTTACGAGTACTTCTTGAGGGATCTGTTGAAGGGTAATGAGTACGCGATTGTCGTCAAGGCGTACAACTCGGCCGGCAGTGGCCCGCAGTCGCACGAAATGCTTGTCCACACCTACGACGGAGACCTCCCGCCCGCGCAACAGCTCAACGCCATCGAGTCCGCCGAGACGTCCGTCACATTGCGATGGCATCAGAAAGATCTGCGAGAGTCACAGACGCCGACCAACAGCTATACCATTCACTATCAGAGAGACGGCGAACAGAAGTGGCGGGAAATACCGTTGACATCGATGACAACGCCGACACCGGTGACCGACGCCAACTCTCTCGCCTCATATACTTATGTACTCCAGAATCTGGAGTCCGGCGTTCAGTACAGGCTATTCATCACTGCACTCAACAGATACGGCTTCAGTGATCCCAGCAATATAGTGGTCACCAGAACTGAAGGCGGTATGTATTGCCAGTAAACTTATCACGATTTGCATATTTAGTGATTGTTTAGAAATTTTTAATTGAATATTTTAATTAACTTTTAAGTAGTTAGAAATTTTTTCAGTCCTTATTGTGTTTTTAATTATAACTACAATATAACGAAATATTAATCAATAGTTTGCAGAAATATTTTCTACAGAAACAATGCATGCATTTTAGTATTGTTTTTTCTGTAAATCAATACTTAAACTCTCCATTGAATAGCATGTAATTAATTGGAAATCTTTTGTCTCTAAAAATATATATCAAATTATTGTTTTCTTGTGGCGAAACCAGACCTCAAAGTACTTCAAAGTGAAATATTCAACCAATTCTTCAATGAGGGCCCGTATTATCTGCAGCCGTCGTTCACAATACCGCTATTGTCTGCCGCAGTCATTGTTATTATTGTCATTATATCGGCGTTTGTTTGTGTCCGACGGATAAACAGGAGTAGAGCTGCCGCTGACGGCTGTGAGTGTCCATTAAATTATCTATTGTTTTATTGTTATATCCAATACTTAAACACCAAATTGATGTCCATATATGCAGTTATAATGGACAGCGCGACTCTTCACAAGCAGTTTGCGGGACACATGGGAACGACACCCCGTTATATGGATTTTGATAAGACTAGTGGCAAACCACTGATGATGACAGAGGCGGGCAACGCATACCCCACGCCATACGCCACGATGCCTATGGGCGGCGACGGCTCTCAAGTAAGCACAACACCGTATTATGCGCTGAGCTTTATATGTAGTGTTCAGTACTCTCTCTCATCTACATTTCTCAGTCCATTAATTATAGTGCCATTCATTTGCTGTTCATATGAATTCATATAAACACTGATTATATAAGTAGAAAATTAATTTTTGTTTGTTTTCTAAACCATTATATGCCTAAAATATATTGTTGACCATAAAGTCATTTATCAAAACGTCAAAAACAAATGCATTGTTTTATGAATTACACACTTATATCGCAGTCTTTCGCTAATATCATGTTATTTAAAGACAATGAATGGTATGACCAATGCTTTGATGAATTTTGTTTGCTTCCAGAAGCCGTGGGAACGACCCCTTCCGCAGCCATCGATGATGAAGAAGGATCACCACATCTACGATCACCCACAATAGGTCCCACAATAGGTCCCAAACAATAAGACATTACATGAATGTAGAGCTTTTTGTTTTATTTGGATAAGACATCTATTTATTTAAATTATGTTTAAATTAATTGTATTTAAAAGTTACAAAAATCGGATTTTATTTGTTGTTAAAAATCTCAACACTCGTGAAAAGGTTGGTTAAAACACATGAAACTTGATTGATATATACATTTCCCTCTCTTTTATCCACTTGATTTTATTGTCACAACTCTATTGCCACTGATTTTTATCGATAATCTGATGCTTATTGCTCTCAATTACTATAAATTAATTGATTATTGATTTTTTCATTCAATTGTATAAACATTTTCATTGATATATTTATGTCTTTCACTGGAATAATGTCAAGACATATGACAGAAATGTTTAGTCAAAACTTATATCTTATCTTAACGTAAACTTTTTGAATGAAACCATCGATTCTCCACACATTATATACATATTGAATAAGTTATTATTTATTAATAACTATTAGAATAGCATTTATTATTATATTTAATGACAAAAAAAACTTATCGACAATTGAATGAAATGTTCAGAAAATCGTTTTATTTGGCGATTGAATAATAAGACAGAGATTTTCCATAAGAAAGTGATATTTAATGAAAAGGTGTTTTCTATTTATATTTATGTTGTTTTAAGCATAATATCCAATACAATAGGCGTTTTAAATTGTGATTTAAATTTTTCGCTTATTTTAATGTCAAGAATATTTGAAAAAACGAAAGAAAATCTTTGGCACAAAAATAATTAGTGATATTTTGGTATTTTTAATCCATTTTATATTATACTTATTATTAGTCTCTTTTTATTGCCCATACATTTGAATGCTCAACATTTTATGCCATATATTTGCCGACAAAAACAACCAACAAGGTCTTTTTATTTAAATGTTTTTATACACTATTCTATTGTAATATTACTTAAACACTACATAATAATTATATAAATCCCCCAAAACTTTTAACCACTTTTACAATCAAACTATTGTATGATTTAGTGAACTAAACTATACTGTAATTACATGTAGAATCTCATTGAATGCCAAAAACAACCATGCTTATATAGTCACAGCAGCATCTTTTTTATTTGCTTAACATTTAAATTAATTAAATTAATTCATTTGTAAAATACTTTTATTTCTTGAGTAAATAAAAATAAAAATTTCGTTAAATAATATACAAGAAAATCTTATTTTCTATTCGCGTAAGTCTTTAATCCGTTTATGAAATCCCTATTGAAGTGTTTAGAGACACTGATTGCTCGGCTTATAGTGAATTACAATGTAATGCCATTCAAAATATGAAACCATTATATTATGTCTTACTTTAAGTGATGAGAGGATGGGATTGAGAGACAAATTTCGCAAAACCATTGCTACAAATGGTCTCAACATTTAAAGGGCTCTCAAAGCTATTGTGGAGTAAATATTGGTTGAAATATAAGGGGTGAACGCGCTTTGGATGCCAAGTGCTGAGCGCACGTGCACTCAGAGAGAGAGAGAGAGAGAG